CCAGAGATCTCCAGAAACCTGAGCGATAAGCAGACTGGCCCCAAGAAGATCTCCAGCACCTCTTAACCTAGCAAGTTCATCACGCAGAGGCTCCACGTATGGCTCCCAAGAGGCATTGTAATGAGCTCCCGCACGTATACGTAGCAACCGTCTAGTCGCTTCATCCGCTAGGGTTTGCACAGTCCTAGGCCCTACTTCTTTGATGTTGATGGTCACTCCGTCGGTGTTGACCCAAACATCCCAGGAGACAGCTTCCCACTCGAGTCTCCGAAGGGTGAGCACTACCGCTCCTGCTGGGCCTAGGACCGTCCTCCACCCTTGAGACCTAGCCTTGACCGCGTAGTCGAAGGTGTGCTTCATCTGGGCATCCGTGGCCCACGAATCAAATACTGCTCTAACCCACATCTGCAGAGGCAAAGAATTTGCTGCGAACATCGGGTCGAGCTTCTCGACCTCAGCCAAAAGGAACTGCAAGCTGCGGCTGCGGCCCTTCACAGGCCCGAAAATAGCCGCACCTGTCGAGGCGCGCTGCTGCTCCAACTGCGTGTCGCCGAGTCCGACGACCGAAACACCATACATGACCGCCAGAGTGGGGCCTCCTCGATAAACATTCTGAAGCGGCTTCCGAGAGAATCTGAAAGCCCTGAACCGTCGCACCTTGCCCCTGGTCGTCTTCAGTCGCTTTTCTGTGACATTTCTACCCTTTCCAGCCCTCAGCTTGAAATCGACCCCGAGGTTTTTGGTCGCCTGAACATGCTTGAACCCGAATTCCCGAAGCGCCCATGCCAGCTGCTTTCCAAGTTTCGGGTCCGAGGCCACCAGGATCGATTTACGTCTCGAAACCTTCATCTCGAGCTTCTCCAGGGACCTGCAAACAAACAGAGTGCACCTAACTAGCTGAGTCCGAACATGCTTCTGATCACCCACGGCCTGGAGACCAGTGTCGTCCACCATCAAAGAAATACCGATCCTCGGCCACTTCTTGGCCGCCGCGTCGAAAACATCTAACAGCACTACTTTCAGCAGCGTCGTCGCATACGAGCAGCCTGCCACTATGGTGGTGTTCAGCTCAAAGGGCATGGACACCGCCTCTCCTACTTTAATGACCCCCCCCCCCCCCTCCTCCGCCTCCTCCTCCTCCTCCTCTCCTCCTCCTCCTTCCCCCCTCCTCCTCCTCCTCCTCCCCCTCCTCCTCCTCCTCCTCCTCCTCCTCCTCCTCCTCCTCCTCCTCCTCCTCCTCCTCCTCAATTCAAACTGCGTCTCCGGCCAGAGCCCCAACTTGGAAAGAGAGGAGCCGCCCTCCGTCCGCGCAGTCGGCGTGCGATGTTGCGCTCGTGGGCGCGCGTGCGTGTGGGCACGGCCCGGGCGAGGGCCCGGTTTTGCCAGACGCGCCCGCTTCCGTCCGTGCAGTTTCGGGGGCGGCAGAGAGGGGGTGCTGACCCTCCGGAGAGGCCGTCCCTCCCCCCCCCTCCGGAGGGGCTGTCCCTCTCCCCCTGCCCTCCTCCAGGGAGGCTGCCCCTCCAGGGAGGGGACTCTCGTCCCTCCTCCCTCCCCCCCCCCCTTTTCCGGCGCTCTCTCTCTCTCTCTCTCTCTCTCTCTCTCTCTGGGGCGGCAGAGAGGGGGGTGATGACTAAGGGGGGGGGATTGGATATCATGGCGGGGGCCATGAGATTTCCCCAGGTCTCATGGCGCCTCTTCTTATTTCGTTGCGTCCCTGGCCCCCTCTGCTGGGCCGCGCACATGCCGCCGGTCATGATTTGCACCCCCCCCTCGTGGACACCCCACCTTGGCCGCTCCCGAGTGTAGTTGCTGGCCGCGTTTAGGACGAACGTGCGCGGCGCCAGGGTGAGAGACACACATCGGAAGCCACCGACTCTCCGTCCATGCAGTTGTGGGAAGGTTTTTTTAAGACAGGTGTGCACGGCGCCAGGGCGATAGCAGCCTCTCGATAGCCACAAGCCGTCGAGCCGTGTAGCTGTTGGAAGCTTTCAGCTTCGGGATCGCAGCTTGCACGGGAGTCTCACGCGAAGCGCACGGCCCGGCATAGCTGCTGGCATGGAAGAGGGTGGAGGGCCGCAGATGCCTGAGGTGGCCATCTTCTGACCAGTGCCTTGATGGGGGAGGCGGGAGGAGGAGGAGGAGGAGGAGGAGGAGGAGGAGGAGGAGGAGGAGGAGGGGAGGAGGAGGAGGAGGAGGAGGAGGAGGGGGGAGGGAGGAGGAGGAGGAGGAGGAGGGAGGAGGAGGGGAGGAGGAGGAGGAGGGGGAGGGAGGGGGGAGGAGCGAGCAGGGCCCCGGGGGGAGGAGTGGCATGCGGAGGCAGGGAGGTCGGCCGCTGCCCTGGGGACTCCGGGCGCGTGGCCTGCAGATGTGAGGCCGCTCCACGGCCCCACTTGAATCTGGAGGGAGAAAAAACACAGACACAATTCATCGTCGATCCCCCAGGAAAGTATGGGAAGTGGGGGGGAGACAAAAACCCAGAAAATATGGGAAAGTATGGGGAATCTGTTTATTTCTGTGGCGTTATTTGTGTGTTCTGGGAACCCTTTATTGAAGTTGGAGGAGAAGGGAGGCGGCTCCTGGCCTTTTGTGCACGGAGCCACCTCTCTTGATGCCTGCGCGCGGCGGCGCCTGGCCTGCGCGCGCGCCCTGCGCCGGGCGATGCGGGAGAGCTGCTCCTCGGAAAGGGTGGAGGGGGAGGAGGAGGAGGAGGAGGAGGAGGAGGAGGAGGAGGAGGAGGAGGAAGAGGAGGAGCAGGAGGAGGAGGAGGGGGAGGAGGAGGAGGAGGAGGAGGAGGAGGAGGGGGAGGGGGAGGGGGAGGGAGGAGGAGGAGGAGGAGGAGGAGGAGGAGGAGGAGGAGGAGGAGGAGGAGGAGGGAGGAGGAGGAGGAGGAGGAGGAGGGGAGGAGGAGGAGGAGGAGGAGGAGGAGGAGGAGGAGGAGGGGGAGGGGGGGAGGAGGAGGAGGGGGAGGAGGAGGAGGGAGGGGGAGGAGGAGGAGGAGGAGGAGAGGAGGGGGAGGAGGAGGAGGAGGGGGAGGAGGAGGAGGAGGAGGAGGAGGAGGAGGAGGAGGAGGAGGAGGAGGAGAGGAGGAGGAGGGGAGGAGGGGAGGGGGGAAAGGGTGAAGGGGGGAGGAGGAGGGAGGATCGCATCGGATCGACTCGGCATGCGGAGCCTGAGGCTCCAGAACGGCGGTGGCAGTATTTCTATCCCGCCCTGCCCTGCGGACGAAAACTACCCAGGCCCCAATCGAACGGGGCCAGGACGAGGATAAGTCCGTTCCAGACCTTCCGGAATGCTCTCAGAGCATTCTGGGGCGCTTTGAGAAGGCAGCCGTGCCCGATACATGCTGCAGAGCCGCCAGATCTCAGAGATCCTCACCCGATGTTATCCTCGTGTTGGCTCCGTCTTACAGTCAAGCCGCATAGTAAGGGTGAGCGACTTTCCAAAGTTACACTTGCGTCCTTGACCCTTCGGCCCAACCTTGGCCGCTTTCGCTGGCGGCGCACCGCTTGCAAAGTGTCGGCATGGCCTTCCAAGGCCCTTGCACCCTTATCGTGCGCCCCTGTTATACGGGCTGACTGCATCCTCCCCCGAGGTTGTCCTCGTCCTGGCCTCGCTTGATTCCCAGCCATCCTGTGGTGTTGGGTCCTCGTTTTGAGGAGACAGCGCCCCGCGTCGCACGCCGTCCTCTCGGCTGCCCCCTCCTCCCGTCCTCCCCCTCCTCTCCTCCCCCACTTTGGCACACCCCTCACACGCTTCGTGGTCCCATAAGGAGCTCCACCAAAGGCCCGGATGCCAGCGCTCGCCTGCGCCCACCGCACCCACTTTGGCACACCCCTCACACGCTTTGTGGCCCCATAGGGAGCCCCACCGAAGGCCAGGATGCCAGCACTCGCATGCGCCCACCGCACCCATTTTGGAACACCCGTCACATGTCTTGTGGACCCATAGGGAGCTCCACCGAAGGCCCAGATGCCAGCGCTCGCATGTGCCCACCGCACCCATGTTGGCACACCCGTCACATGTTTTGTGGACCCATAGGGAGCTCCACCGAAGGTCCAGATGCCAGCGCTCGCATGCGCCCACCGTACCCATGTTGGGACACCCTCACACGCTTCGTGGCCCCATAGGGAGCTCCACCGAAAGTCCCAGATGCCAGCGCCCGCATGCGACCACCGCACCAATTTTGGGACACCTCTCACACGCTTCGTGGCCCCATAGGAAGCCCCACCGAAGGCACACATGCTAGCCTTTGCATGCGCCCGCCGCACCCACTTGAGCACACTCCTCACACGTTTTGTCGCCCCATAGGGAGCCCCCTGGATGGGCCCAGATGCCAGCGCTCGCATGCGCCCACCGCACCTATTTTGGGACACCCATCACACGTTCCGTGGCCCCATAGGGAGCTCCACCACAGGCCCAGATGCCAGCGCTCGCACGCGCCCACCGCACCCAGTTTGGCACACCCATGACACGCTTCGTGACCCCATAGGGAGCTCCACCGAAGGGCCCAAATGCCAGCGCTCACATGCGCCCACCGCGCCAGTTTTGGACACCCCTTAATCGCTTCTTGGCCCCATAGGGAGCCCCGCCGAAGGCACAGATGCCAGCGCTCGCATGCGCCCACCGCGCCCTATTCTGGCACACCCCTCACACGCTTCGTGGCCCCATAGGGAGCCCCGCCGAAGGCACACATGCCAGCGTTCGCATGCGCCCACCGCTCCCATGTTGGGACACCCCTCACGCGCTTCTGCGCCCTATAGGGAGCCCCACCGAAGTGCCCAGATGCCAGCGCTCGCATGCGCCCGCCGCACCCATTTTAACACACCCCTTCACGCGCCTCGTGGCCCAACGGGAGCTCCACCGAATGCGGCGCATACAACGGCAGGACCCACCACTGCATATGGTTGGGTCCGTCGCCAGGCTAATACCCAACGAGGGAGGACGGAGGCGGCAAGGCTGCCCTTCCCTACGCCAGCGGGTCGCGCGCGCGCTGGCCCGAGGCGCAGCAGCCGAGCTCGCGCCCGCGGCGGGCGTGACCCGCCTCCCCTGCTGAGTTGACCCGGCGGTGCCGTGCGCCCACCCCTGGTGGGGGAGCGAATTCAGGGGGGGGCGATGGATTGGACAGGGGGGGGAGAGAAAGAGAGGCGCCCCCTCTCGGGATCTAGAGGCCCCCCTCTGGGGGCCCCACGGGACACCTTGAGGGGCCCGGAGGGGCTCCGTTTCTGCAGCGCTTGCTGTTGGGGTCCCTCCTCCTCCCTCCCTCCTCCCCCTCCCTCCTCCCTCCTCCCTCCTCCTCCTCCTCCTCCTCCTCCTCCTCCTCCTCCTCCGCCTCCTCCTCTTCCTCCTCCCCCTCCTCCTCCTCCTCCTCCTCCTCCTCCTCCAAAAGGCTCCCTTCTGGGGGCCCTGCAGGGCCCCTTTGGGGCCCCGCAGGGCCCCTTTTCTGCAGCCCCCGCTGCACCCCCACCTCTTCGCCCCCCCCAGTTCACGCGTCCTCGGACCCTGGCGGGGGAGCAGGGAGGAAGACGCGGCAAGAGGAGCGCAAACATAAACTGCCTAACACAAACATAAGCATAAACATACACATAGAAATGTACAAACCAGGAAATGACAAAGCAGCATGTAGACAAAGCATGCATAGACATAGACATAAGAATTAGCCTGGCGAAGGACCCAACCAGATGCAGTTGTGAGAACCGCATGTGTAAATACCGTCTTCGGTGGAGCTCCCCGTGGGGCCGCGAAACGTGTGAGAGGTATGCCGACGTGGGTGAGGCGGACGCATGCGGGCGGTGGCTGGGACCTCCAGTGGAGCTCCCTAGGGGGCTACGAAACTTGCGAGGGGTGTGCCGAAACGGGTGTGCGTGACGCATGCGGTCGGCTGCACTGTGGCATTCAGTGGAGCTCGCCATAAGGCAACGAAGCGTCACAAAAAGTGTGAGAGGTATGCCAAAATGGGTGTGCGTGACGCCCGCGGGCGTTCCCAGTGGGACCTTCGATGGAGCCCCCGTATGGGGCCGCGGAGCGTGTGAGGGGTGTGCCGAAATGTGTGTGTGTGTGTGTGCGTGGCGCATGCGAGCTGCGCCATTGGGGCCTTCGGTGGAGCTCCCTATGGGGCCACGACACGTGTGAGTGGTGTGCCGAAATGGGTGTGCGTGACGCATGCGGGCTGCGCCAGTGGCACCTTCGGTGGAGTTCCCTATGGGGCCACGAAACGTGTGAGGGTGTGCCGACATTTGTGTGTGGGGGGGGGGGTGACGCATGCGGGATGCGCCACTGGGACCTTCGGTGGAGCTCCCTAGGGGGCTACGAAACGTGTGAGGGGTGTGCCGAAACGGGTGTGCGTGACGCATGCGGGCTGCACCATTGGGACCTTCGGTGGAGCTCCCTGTGGGGCCACGAGACGTGTGAGGGGTGTGCCGACATGGGTGTGAGTGACGCATGCGGGCTGCGCCATTGGGACCTTCGGTGGAGCTCCCTATGGGGCCACGAAGCGTGTGAGGGGTGTGCCGAAATGAATGTGCGTGACGCATGCGAGCGCTGGCATCCGGGCCTTTGGTGGAGCTCCCTATGGGGCCCCGAAACGTGTGACGGGTGTGCCGAAACGGGTGTGCGTGACGTATGCGGGCTGCGCCAGTGGCACCTTCGGTGGAGCTCCCTATGGGGCTACGACACGTGTGAGGGGTGTGCCGAAATGGGCGTGCGTGACGCATGCGGGCTGCGCCACTGGGACCTTCGGTGGAGCCCCCTTATGGGGCTACGAAACATGTGAGGGGTTTGTCGAAATGTGTGTGCGTGACGCATGCGGGCTGCGCCACTGGGACCTGCGGTGGAGCTCCCTGTGGGCCACGAAACGTGTGATGTGTGGGTGCCGAAATGGGCGTGCGTGACGCATGCGGGCTGCGCCAGTGGCACCTTCGGTGGAGCTCCCTAGGGGGCTACGAAACGTGCGAGGGGTGTGCCGAAATGTGTGTGTGTGCGTGCGTGACGCATGCGGGCTGCGCCACCGAGACCTTCGGTGGAGCTCCCTATGGGGCCACGACACGTGTGAGTGGTGTGACGATGACGATGATGACGATATCGATGATGATGATGATGATGATGATGATGATGATGATGATGATGATGATGATGAGGAGGAGGAGGAGGAGGAGGAGGAGGAGGAGGAGGAGGAGGAGGAGGAGGAGAGAGGAGGAGGGGATGAGGATGAGGGAGGTGAGGATGAGGATGAGGATGAGGATGAGGATGAGGATGAGGATTAGGTTGAGGATGAGGATGAGGATGAGGATGAGGTTGAGGGTGAGGCTGAGGGTGAGGGTGAGGGTGAGGATGAGGAGGAGGAGGAGGAGGATGATGATGAGATGACGATGATGATGATGATGATGATGGATGAGGATTGAGGATGAGGATGATGAGGATGAGGATGATGAGGATGATGATGAGGATGATGATGATGATGATGATGATGATGATGATGATGATGATGATGATGATGATGAGGATGAGGATGAGGATGAGGATGAGGATGAGGATGAGAGGAGGAGGAGGAGGAGGAGGAGGAGGAGGAGGAGGAGAGGAGGAGGAGGGGGCAGCGGGAGGAGTGAGACGCGGGGCGCTGTCTCTTCAAAACGAAGACCCAACACCACAGGATGGTTGGGAAATATTTCATAGCATAAACTGAGAATGAAAAATGATACATAAACATAAACTGGTGGCGTTCCGCGGGAATTTCTTGGATCCGCGCTGGGCCGCTCTGGCGGCACCTGCGGCGCCGCTCCTGGCGCGCTCCGCGCGCCAGGGAGGGAGGCGTCCAGCGCAGATCCAAGAAATCCGCGCGGACCGCCGACAATTTACGTCTGCGCCGTTGATTCTTCAAATGAGGACACGGAAGGAGGCGTGTGAAGGCGGGTGGGTCCCGAGGGAAATTGGTCCCGTGATTTTTGCATGCTTTCGGGCTCTCGGGGGGCCTTCCACGGGTCCGGGGTCTGTCAGAAATCTCCCCCTCCTCCCCCTCCTCCTTCTCTCCTCCTCCTCCTCCTCCCCCCTCCTCCTCCTCCTCCTCCTCCTCTCCTCCTCATCCTCCTCCTACTCCTCCCTCCTCCTCCTCCTCCTCCTCCTCCTCCTCCTCCCCTCTCCTCCTCCTCCTCCTCCTCCTCCTCCTCCTCCTCCTCCTCCTCCTCCTCCTCCTCCTCCTCCTCACGAGGCACGAGGAACGAGGAAGCTCTCGTCTTGAAGGGCGAGGCCCCGAGACCTCCAGGGCCCCGTTGTCCCTCCGGACCCGCTGCCCCCCCCCGTGCGGACTTCCGGAGCGCGACCGCCTCCGCGCGGTCGTCGCGCCCTGCGGGGGGCGCGCGGCGGGCGCGGGGGGGGGGGCCCTGGGCGGCGGCGCCCGCGGCTGCGGGAGACAGAGAGAGAGAGAGGAGAAAGAGGAGGAGGAGGAGGAAGAGGAGGAAGAGGAAGAGGAAGAAGAAGAAGAAGAACAAGAAGAGGAGGAGGAGGAAGAGGAGGAAGAAGAAGAAGAAGAAGAAGAACAAGAAGAGGAGGAGGAGGAGGAGAGAGAAGAAGAAGAAGAAAAGGAGGAGGAGGAGGAGGAGGAGGAGACGTTGGAGGAGGAGGAGGGCGGGGGCGTGAGCGGCTCCCTTGTGGGCCTCGGGGGCCGTCTCGAGGTTCCTTGGTCTTGGTGCCGTGCTGCCTCCCACGGGGCTCCTCCCCCCCCCCCCCCTGCAGGGCTCGTTTCGAATCCTCCGATTCGATTCGATTCGACTCCGATGGATTCCGATTCCGATTTGAGTCGATTTCGGATTCCGATTTGGGCTCCGATTTCTTATTGGACGCATACTAGCCTGCAGATTTCCGCCGATTCGACTTTTCCCGACTCGGCTGCCGATTTTTGCCGATCCGACTTATTTCGATCGCCGATCCGACTTATCGATTCGATTCTGGGCTCCCCTGCCCCTGGCGTTGCCCCAGGTTTCTCGGAATTCCTCGGCACTGCTCGCCAAGCAATGCCAAGCCAGGCAGTGCCGAGCACCACAAAGCAGCGCGAAGCAGTGCAGAGCAATGCTAAGAGCAGCGATTCCAGGCAGCGCCAAGCCATGCCGAGCCATGCAAAGCCAAAGGATGCCAAACAATGCCAAACAACGCCAGGCGATGCAAAGCAATGCCAAGCAATGAATCCAAGCAACGCAACGCAAAGCCAATGCTAAGCAACATCAAACAATACCAAGCAACGCCAACCAATGCTAAGCAATGCCAAAAAATGCCAAGCAACGCTTTGAATAACATTGCCTTGCATTGCTCAGAACTGATTCTAATTTCTTCGGAAGAAAGCAGACCCCAAATTGGGTCGCGCCGGGTCGACTTCACTGCGGTACAACCCCAGATGCTTAATTTGGGGACGTTCCCAGAGGTCCCCAGAGTCTTCCGAAGACCCAAAGAGGATCTACACCAATCAGGAATTTGTAAATCTTCGTGGGCCTCAAATTTCGCTCAAAAAAACAAGAGTCTGGACTGGACCCTGAGCGTTGCCTTGGAGCGTTTTTTCTTCGTGGAATGTTCATGTATCAGAATATGGACGTTAGTGGTTAAGAAGACGTCTGGTGTGAAGTCCGCTTTCTTGGCGTAGTAACGCTTTTAAACCAAAGCAGGGGTGCATCACGACTCCCGAAAAACATTGGAGAACCTCCCCCCCCTCGCCCTTCGAGGGCGACAAACGGAATTTGACAAGCTGGCACGGCCGAGCTTGCGAGGCACACGCGCGACATCATCGGCAGCGGCTTCGGCTCGCAGACGCCAGGGGAAGGAGGAGCATACTGGCGGATTGCACAGCCTTTGAGGGTAGCTGGTCCCCGCATCCTTTCCCTTGTAAATAACACCTCCCTGTCGCACCCCGAGGCCAGTTTTTAGGGCGGGCCAGGCGTTTCGCCTGAGACTTCCTCACCATGTATGACCCTGGAGCGTGGAAACTCACAAAAGTTTCACAGATGGAGGGCGACTGGTTTACAAAATATGGCTCTCGCTTTAGCGGCGCGCACATTCG